TGGCCCAGAATAGAAATCAGCGGCGCGAATGCTGTGCGGTCTCCTTGTTGAAATCCCGTGACCGGTAAACAACAACATCAAACAACACAAAAAATATCAGGTTTTCGGTGAAACACAAAAAACGTTTTTGTTATACCAGTTACTTCCCGTTCTCTATTTTGTGTGTTCCACCTTTTTACACTTTGCTCTGTATTCCAACCCACTTGCTCGATGTTATCTTTATTTTTATTATTGTTGTGGTGTTGGCATCATGCTTGGTTACATAAACCGGTGTTTATATACATATACGTGCAAATGTATGCCTCCGAAGGTGAGTCAATTGAGGTAAACCCTGAGCAATGTGCACATTAGCTGTAAAAGAGACTGATACTGGTGGTCATCTAAACTGTGCATCACAATAATTTGTCCAGCCTGAAAGAATCAGTTTTTGATTGTGAGTTGGTTCGCCGTCGTAATCAAATATCATTTCAGTCACATTTGGTGCTTTCCTACAGGTAACCCGTCCAAGATGGAATAGCTTACTGCATGCCTGTTGCTCTTAGAGATCACCCGATTTCTCGGTCTCTTCGTAGGCCTTCGTCAAGTTCATATTTAGTAATGAGCCGTATTTTTTATTATGCTAGCTGCCAACTGGGATTGATCGTGGCGTGCGTCATCAAGGGGCAAAGACCTATCAGAAATCCATAGCACGGTAGAATGTAGAATGTTTTCGATGACAAGACATTTTTGGCTTATAGTGATGCGGTCGACCTACGTCCGTCGCCAGCTCGAGATGGGTGGACGACAATTAGCGTACCAGCAATCGGATCGTCTGGTGTTAATACTGAAAAGGAATATTGGGTGTTTAGGGCATAGAGATAGCAGTCTTTCCCAGATTTCTGAGTGACAGGAATCTAGTCTAAATGGAACTAACCAGATGTGTATTACTCGAAGCCAGTCGACGTACTCCGGGATGTACAAATATGCAAAGCCTAATATCAGTCGGGTCATGAACTTTTAGCCAAAACAAAAATGAAATCGGTTAGCGACAGGAGTTTATCTTTTTCCTGTGGTGGTGGTGGAAGAGCGTCACTAACATTTCGGGATAGGTGTATGTATGTCGTTTGCACCACTCTTTGCTAATGGCGTTGCTGACCCAAATATCGAGGTTTTATTTTCTTACATAATCCATACTAACACGGATCTTCTAATACGCAAACCCCTGATCTCTTGAAAGTTTGTTCTGTATACATGAATTGCCCATAGGCAGAACAGTTCATGTTTTGTCTCTGTGTACGTTGTCAAAATGGAATCTGTTTTAGGCATTGCGGAGCACAAAATCTTTTTTTTCATGATATCCGGTGCGCGATGTTTCTTCTATGATAAGTAAATCAAGATTTTCATAATAGTTATAAATCTGGTCAACAGACAGACTGTTCTATCAAGATAAAAAGGAATCACGTTGGTCCCGTGACCTACCTCAAACGGTTTAAATAAATAAGGATCGATAATTTACAGAGTAAACCAAACAGTGACTGACTCTACCATGTATCCACCTATGCATGTGAGGTTCATACCGCGCAACCCACCGAAGCAGCCACCGTTTCGTAATGTACTCCAAGGAGAGGGAACAGCTGACAAGATTTTGTCTGAACCCGGGAGAGATATTTTCAAAGCGTTGAGTGTATCAGTCCCAGAAAGCCAATCAAAAAACGGATTGAATCCGGAGACATGTGCTGAGGCAAGTCGCGCATTGCAATCTCTGCAAAAAATGCACATTCATCGACGTCGGGATCAACTTCGCCCAATCTTAGCCCGAGAAGAGGCATGTTTGAATGAGGAGTTGCGCAAGCGGTTTGGAGCAGTCACAAATTATGCGTCATATTAACAATGTCATCCAACATGTTTTGATATTTGGATCCTGTTTAATGGCATCCATGGCAATTTATTTATTTTCATCGTAAAAGCTGCTCTACTGGTTTTTCAACCATTCGCGGTCAAGTAAATTTGATCAATTTACTTGTATGTACCGGTTCTTCAATTTAGATTTGAGGTTCCGTGGTCGGAGTACTATTGCACACCATTACACATTGTATGTAATACATTGATTTATGTTTTTGAACGTAAAGTGGTTTCTTTAATTTATTTTCCAATGCATATAAATAACCAAAATAAATAATTCATTCTGTGAATGTAACTGTAAAAAAGTGTTCTTCTCTCTTTCACTTACTAAGATTACAGATATTTAAAAGTTGATGATCTTTGGAAATCTTTAAAAGCTTTCGGACATTATTCAAATATAGTGGTGGCTTCAAATGAAGTTGCACTTCAAATGCAATTTGCTAACTTAGAGTAAACAATGCTAGGTGCTTTGCTGTGAAATAGGTTTACTAAAAAAGGATTAAGGGTCTATTGACTTGTTTCTACAATTCCCAACACGGGATGGAGGAACATGTTCGATATGTATGGGGACTGTTGCTTATCAAGCACTGTTATACGGTGCAGAAACTTGACCATTAAGAAAACAGGATAAAGACAGACTGTCTATGTAGCATTGCTCGAATCTGGCACGGCAACCGGATGAGCAACGCTGAGGTTAGGCGCAAAGTTTTAGGCAGTCGCGGTCATCCATTGGAGGAAGTGTTCGACCTTCACCGATTATGCTTGTTGGGGCATGTGTTACGCATGCACCAAATAGGTCATCACGGCGCGCAGTGTTTGCCGGGACCGGTAGTGGGTAGAAAACAGTCAAGGGTGGCCAAGCTCAGGTATGCCTTGAAGTTGTGAAATCCTTAACTAGGGGACTGGGTCACATAGGTTCTGTTGGGCTCCTAAGCTGGGGACCTCGGGATGATCGTAACCGATAGTTAGAGACATTGAGCGACATGGCTGTGTCGCACACATTGGCGTTCATGCATCTTCTCAATTTGTTTGCAGCACTAGTTCAATGAAGTTCTCCATTTTCTTTTCGATTCTGCTTTCACATTTTCCTGTTTGTCTCCTACAGCCTCTCCCAAATGGGCAGTGAAAAGATAGCAAGTCAAACCGGCTCACAGAAGTGCATGGTTAATGGTTGTACGAAACGAACTGAACTGAACTGCAGTTTCGATCCCGACCAGTGTGTAAATAGTAAATATAAGGCACAATGCCAATATCAGACAGGATCAATATTGTGCATCAAAGCGTTAGCTGTTTTTGTCACTGTATAGAATCTCTGAACATGCGATACTTGTTAAAGCTGATGATGGTTGGAGAAGTGATATCAGATCCTCACCTGGACTGTAGTTTCAGGTCCTCGGAGGAAGATAACTCATGATTATTGATAGTAGGTTATGCAGTTAAACGTCTTGAATATTCGATTTCAATTTGATTGGCATTCGCATGCTCTTGCTTCGAACTGACTACCCTTCAGACTTAATTTTCACACAATCCTCAGTCAAACGACATCCAGTCAAACGTACACTCGGAAGAACTAGACTTGCGTTTTGCTCTTATTAGAGCTCATCAGTAGTGCAAATCCACTGTCCCGTCCGGGATTTGAACTCCGAATCCATCGCAAGGAGGGCGTGTGTTGCCACTGTGCAAACAGCTCATACAAGGGCTGAACCAAATTGTTAATTCACGTTTGCTCAAGTGTCGTCTTCAGTGATACTCAGTCAGTTACTTCACTTCGTGCAAGTTTTATTTCCCGTGGAAACTGTGAGAAAAGGAAACTTTACTCATCAGTTTGCCATTTAAAGGTGATGCCTTGAATGAGCTTCTGATTCGACGACTAAACAGAGAAATTATTAACATCTTCAACACTGCCAAATTACGGTTCATGATCTGAAAGTCGTTCGGAAGTTGAGAACTTATAATCAAATCTTTCAAATTTTAGAAACAGACATTTTTCTGTAAGCGATATAAGATTGGTGATGGAACTGCTTTTTATATACTAGTAAAATCATAATAATCCATTTTAATTTACTTTCTGCTTCCTACACGTAGGATAGGCGGGTTTCATGAGGTATTTTACATTGTGATACCGCAGTATTCGGCTTTTCTTTCAAAGATAAAACTCGATCCATTGGACAAACAAAAGTTGATTGATAGCCTTCCATTATTGTGTGATGCTCCTTTGTCAATTCGACGGTGTCTATTGCACTAGCGGTAAATCCAGTCTGTAACGACGAGATTGAACCTTGACGACGGTATGTGTACCTCTGTTACCAAACCAGCTACAAGGGATGTTTTTTTGAGCCAAAGATCTAATCATGTCTGGAAGGTCAACGGGTAGAGGTCAGACAAAGTCCAGGCTCCTGGTCCTCTAGGTGGGGGTTCGACCTGAGTTGCCGTTTCAGTAGGTGGTGTTGGTGAAGTAACTGACCCAAGATAATGGGCATCCAAGCCTTGCGGTAAGGTTCTTGTCAGAACCAAAGGCTTTGGTTGATAACCTTAATCGTTTCTTTGTTTAGTGACTGGACACCCTGCAGTACCCGTACATAAAGCCCCAATGCATACACAAAATAAAAATAATTTCATACTGCATCGGTCGTCGCGCAGGATAATCAGAACCGCGTGGCCCATTGCATCGAGCGGGGTAAGTAGTGATAAGTGAGTTATTGCTCAGTATCCTAACTGTTATTTAACTCTGTTTTCCGTGCCTAACCCTCTCCCTTTACTCCTTCTTCTGACCCGTAACATACCATCAGATGACTTGGTCATCACTCGCGAAAGGTCGTAGCCAAATAGCACTATGAATAGTTTTCCTGTAATTAAAATACAGATTTTGAAGCCTCGTCCACCTCTCAATCTGGGGGCCTCCAACGTTAGGACACTTATTCAGGTGGGTCAAAAAGTGTGTCTTGCGTGTAAAATGTAGTCTCTAGAAGTCGATGTCTTTTGCGGATCAGAGACACAAATTCAGGGTCCTAGTATTATAAGCCACCTGGATGCACCGGGTCTCTCCACGATGTATTTCCTTCGTTCATCAGGAGACTATGGAGCCCGCCCACTTGGTAAGCCTTGTGTAGGGATCGTAATAAACGATATAGCCGATGCCTCACTGATAGATTGGGAACCCATCAATAGTCTTCTGTGCTTAATGAGGCTACAGAGTTCAGTCAGTGTTCGGAAGGGTACTCAAAACCAAAAGGTATTTGTTCATCTTATCTCCATATGCGCAAACCAACTGCAGTCCCGCTCCACAAAAGGACGAATTTTACGACAAGCTCGTCGAACTCATTCGGTTGAGCTGCAGCTCTGATATTATAGTGCTGGCAGGTGGTTCAAGCATGCAGGCTGGAAAAATGAGCGCACACGAACCATGTTCAGGAGGGCACTTCTCCCGCCCAGCGAAAAGACAACAATGATCGACTACTTCAGTTCTGCGCGGATCATCGCTTGTTCTTATCTAGCACCAACATTTGACACAGCTCTCGTTGAAAGGTTACATGTTGATCTATTTCAACGGGAGAGTTGACCCAATTAACCAAATAACTGTAGGCTGCCGTTGAAAGGGGTTCGGTACACAATTGCAGATTCCACTGGACTATCTGCGTTGGGTCGGACCATGCACTAGTTCTGTTACGCTTCACTCTTCGACTCACTCGTCATCGGCAGAAATCGCCTCCTCAGTTAGCTCATCATCATCTGCGCAATCCTTCTGTCTGCGCACGTTATGAGGAGAAGCTGGGGCAAGAGTTGGGAGAACCATGACAAAGTGGAGTAAACCAAAAGTGGAATCAAATTAGATTTATGATGCACTCAGCAGCAAATTTTGCTTCTGGGACTGAGTCCAAAGTTCACCAAAGGCATTGGATCTCTCAGGGGTCAGTAATCCTGATGGATCGGAAGCGAAAGATCCCAATCTGCCAGGACCGGTGTCGCCTGCTACGTCAATTCAGCAATAACCTTAAGAAAGATCACGAAAATTGTTGGGCCAAAACAGCTAGTGAAATGGAGGTGGCTTCTGAATCAGGGAATAGTCAAAGACTGCTTCACCTGATACGCAGCACCGGAGGTCGTCGCGTACTGGTAAGTGAGACCATTAAAGATAAAAAATAAACAGAGTATCCGCAATAAACAACAACGACTTGATCGATAGGCAGATTATTTTAGTGAACAGTTCAATTGGCCCATTGCTAATTCGGTCATTCCAGAAATGGCGTAGGAACCCAATGGGTAATAACCTGCGAGCCCCCATCAGAATAAGAAGTAAGAAGCTGCATTTGATCAATAAAGTACAGGAAATCTGCGGGACCTGACGGGCTTCTCCCTATTCTTTTAAAGGTGGGCGGTGATTCTCTAGTCTGTATTGTATTGTTTTGTATTCAAGCTTTAGCGGCTCAATTGCCAGCTTACTTCGCATCATCTGGTCGGAGGAGCGTACCCCTCCTTCCTGGGTTGAATCGTTGATCGTCCCGATCTTCAACAAGGGATCACGCAACGACTGCGCAAACCTCCGCGATTAGTTTAGTTCTGATGATCAAAAAAGTGTTGCTTCACCGCCTGACACCCTTAAGGGAGGGGGATATCCGCGAACAACAAGTCGGCTTCCGACCAGGTCGCAGTTGCATCGACCAAATCTTCACTTTGCGTCAAGTCCTCAAATTGCGTCACACACATCGTCGGCCAACAATCGCAGTTTTCCTTGACCTAAAAGAAGCCTTCGATGCAGTTGACCGTGAAGCTCTTCTGGGGTCGCTGCTTCGCAAAGGAATACCGCAGAATTATGTAAACCTATCGCTTTACCTGCATACTTCTAGTAGAGTAAGGGTCCACGGTAGGCTAAGTAAATCTTTCGAAACGTCCGTCATGGGGGCCTATTTCGCGTTCCTGTTCAATTTCGTCGTGGACGAATTACTGGAGAACGCACTTACTGGTCTCCAAAACGTAGGTATTGAATGG